TTGTGTATAAAATTCTACAATTATCCAGTTAGATATTGTTTTTATAGTGAACTAGCTGAGACCCGCGGTGTTACCCGCGTTTGTTGTTACAACCGCGCGCAAGCTAGTCTAAAAAAAGTAGCCTAAGTTACTCCTTATGTCATCAGCTTTCTGCCTGTGAAAGTCCCGTCGAAATCGGTCCAGCCGTTCCAGAGATTACCCGGAACAAACAGACAGACAGACAGACAGACAAAAATTGTAAAAAATGTTATTTTGGCATGTGTACCGTGTAAACATACATATGCATTTAGTAAAAGCGGTTATTTTAATGTTACAAACAGACACTCCAATTTTATTTATTTGTATTAATAAGAAAACGAGTTCCGTATGCTACACCTGCGTATATGATCACTGTTTCTCTCTCTGAACCACAGATTTGTTTATACCCTACAGTATTCCTCAATAAATATTCTATTCAATTTAAAAATAATCATTCGATTCTGACTCATTTTCTTCTAAGATTATCGTGTTTAAACAAATAACAAAACTGTTTATCTTTATTGTAACTGTTTACGAGTAGATGTTAATACAAATTAATTACATTGTAACAAGCTATAAAGTAGTTATATATTTCTCAATACAATTAAATTCAATCTTTATTGTACTACCTGAGTTAGGGCACTGTAAAAGTAGGAGACTTGAGAAACTACTGTTAAATGTCTGAATTATTGAGCCTGTATTAATAAAATTTTGACATTAAAAGCTTTGTAATAAGCAGTTATAGTTTTATAATAATGTACAAGGCAATTTTATACTATAGTGAAGTAGTATTATATGTGTATAGTATTGTATAGTAGTATTTTAATGAAATGCAGTATACCTAGTTACAATGTAACCATGATGACGCCGCTGCACCGCCGCCAACAAGCGCGTATGTTTAAGTCACAATAACCACTTGTGTAGTTTTCGTAATAACGGTTATCAGTTACGTTACTGATACTTTTTAAATTACTTTGTACTTAACACTTTAGACTATGCACTGACTTTAGAGCATTCAGAAAATAATTTTATACTTATGTGATTTGCAGCAGTTATTAATTAGAAAACCGTGTACATCATAACGTGTATATTTCTTGTATTCTTGTTGTATATATATGGTAGACAGCGATATTTTTAGGTTTTTAGTAGTAATTCTGCCTCTGTTTACCCGACTGCTTTAGAAAGATGCTTATGGCTTTCGAATGTAAGTATGTATGGGTTTCTTTGACATGGGTTTGGAGTTTGGTATTTGAAGTGTCGTTAGGTACGTCTCAATTGTAAGAGTGGTATTCGGTATAGAAAATTAAAATCGGCGGGTTTTTTTTTAATTTTAAGTGGTACCTGGATATTTTGAGTTTAAAAAAAAGTTATCTATACACTCTTTACTCTAAGGGTTTGTTGATAGAAAACTCAACAATGAGTTAAGCTTACATTTGTAAGTACATGTAGTTTTTCTTCTTGTTTTTGTATTTGAATTAATTAATTATTTTTTGTGGCAATAAAGAATGAGAGAATACCTCATGGTATTAAGTCCACCTTTGTAAAACATGTGCATTAATTTTAAATAAATAAATAAATGTTAGGTTCATAACTTGATAAAACAGGTGATGACACTTTTAAATCATTAATTTAGTATTCTATGTATCTTCTGAGCTTTTCACGTCTGAAGGCTGTAGGGTCAAAAGAGTTCTAAAGGTGTTTGGTAGGACGCGCCTAGCCAAATAGACTGACGATCTGAAGAATGCTGATGCTGAATGCTAAATGAAGGATGCTGAAGACGGTCCGTGTATTATGGTACATAATGAGAGAAGCCATACAGTAGACTGCAATAGACTAAGAAATAGATCTCTCTTCTCTTCTTATTTCTATCTACACCTACTCCATTTTCATTTCTGCTTCACACTAGGGTTAACTGCCAGATAATGCCTTAGGCATTAAGTCCGCCTTCACATGAAAGTGATATGAATTATCATGCATGTTTTAATAAATAAAATAAATAAATAAACTCAATTTTTTTTGTTATCATTGAAGTCTTCTTACTTTTTTTGATCCGTCTATTTTTGTGCTTCTATTGAGGAGGGCCGGATTAACCATTAGGCAGAGTAGTCCCCTGCTTTTATTCCTGTTTATTACTGAGCAGTTACGCATCAGTCAGTCTGATTACTCACAAAACTTCATCGACTTACAAACAAACACAAAAAACACCCCGACTTAGAACAACAATTTGTGGATCACACAAGTGTGATCCACAACACTCGGCGTAGTAAGAAGCGGCGTGGCGACCAGTTAAACCACTACGCCATCCGTGTAGTCTAATACATTCTAAGTAACCAGTTTTTGCATTTTTACGCATTCATTACTCAGATGATTGTCACATAGTTTTCCGTACAAAGGAAAGATCTTTCGTCATGAAAAACTAAGTATCAAGTTCGAAAGAGCCGAGAAGAAAAAGAAACTATTCTTACTCAAAGGGGGTAACGCACTTTTCTAACTTGGGTTGTAGGTATACAAGGTGGCGATAATCACTTAACCTCAGACTCCATATAGCATAAAAAAGCGAACGTCTGACTTGACGAATTTTATAAATAAAGCTAACTCTTTACAAACAAGAAACCATCTCCAGTAAATTTATTTTTCCTTTCCAAGCCGACGATATTTTAAAACTGTTATGTAAAAAAGTATAAAAATAAATATTAAACGTCAATTCACAACAACAAATATAAATTCCCTATTAACTCTAAACTAACCCACATACACTCAAAATAAGAGTAGTATTCCGTAATACCATAAATGTCAAATAAAATTCAAACTCGATATACTTTTTATTACAGAATTACAGAAACTCATTCATGTAATTTTAAACCCTCAACAATTGCCCACTAAAGAAAAGCAGCTTAAAATAATTGCTAGTAAAATGCATCCAAAATGGTGTCGTACTCAACAATATTCATTTAATGGCGCCGAAAGTATAATCCTGTACGATATTTCCACGTTAAAAATATACGAATTATATTGTAATGGCAAGAAATTTCCAGTAAATCATTTAAAACTGTGCTGATTTATTAATAACCAATCGTTCAATTTAAACGCTACACTTGATTATTTAATCATGCAAATGTATTAATTACTGTGGTTATTCCGTATTCATTTATTTGTATTTAAACTGATTTATTTTCGTTTAATAGTTTAACTGTTTGGTTATTTAAATGTTTATAATAAGAAAGAATATTGTATGCAGAACCAACGAATTACTGAAAGTCAACGATACTGCATTGTGGTCCCCGCCGTCGCTGAACCCTGAAAAACTTCATAACATCACAATACATACCTATGACAACTAGTGTTCATTTACACAGCTTTCAGTTACTATTAATTACATTTAAAATATATGAACTCATTTAATTTCATTGTAACTCCCTAATAAATATTCCTTTTCACTAAAATTTTATAAAATGAATGCTTTACAGATTTAAATGAAATATACTGTTCATTTAAAAGTATTAACCGTCCTAAATAAATGTAGACTAATACATTTATTCCAGTTAATGTCTACAAAGCGTTCCGTCGCCGTCTCAGGTTCTACGTCCGACGCTACGCCGTAGCCGACGGCTACGTACATTATCATCACATCCGTATACTGCAGCAATTTGATTTTAAATTGTTACAACGTTTTCAAATACCGGCGATATTTTAAGATAAAGTACAAAACTGAAAAGATATTAAATAACTTAAAATTAAGTAAACGGACTAAGAAGGTTTTAGTTAAAAAAAACGTGATTTATGTTTATTAAAAAATTTGACATACTCGTAAATTATACTCTTATGTGAAAAATAGTTAAAACACTGTATAAATTAAATAAACAACAACAACAAAACCACTTAACAGTAATTGTTCGTCGGCCGTCGGTACTTTATCAAACTCTCGCGGAACCCGTATAAACGAGTTGTTATTTCCGGATCCTCTAATAATCTGCAATAATTTGTTTTTACCATTTTAGTAAATATTAATTAATACCTAAACTGAAATTTAATTGAAATACAAATTATTTTTAAGTTTCTCGTGTTCTTTTTATGAATTGCAATTTTAATTAAATATGTATTATGAATTTACTACATCTATCGGTAATTTAAAATTATCACGTTACTATTTTATTTAATTGTGTATGTTTTGTCATATTATTATTAAGATTATTTTAATTTCCTTTAAGTACCTACGATACTCCGAAAATAAAAAAGATTAAATGAGTTTTAATTATTAAGGTTTTATTTAAATTAATAATAATCTTTGATTTTAGTTTATTTTTTCTAATAAATTGTTTATTAAAACCAATTAATTATTTTGACGTCGGTTCTTAACCTCGCCATACCTCATTTATTTATGATCACAAATGATTAATTTGAATGAAATTAATAATTTATAATTATAAATAAATGAAGTTTCATCGAGGTTGAATCTTTTTGTTTTATTTTAAGTGTTACTGGTGTAGTACTGAAAGCCGCGCAAATACGAACACAAACGATTTCGCTGAAACACAAATCCCCCCATGGAGCTCCATGAAATCGCCACAGCAATCGCTAGCTTTCAAAAACACACACAAATCGCTGAGCTAAATATATACGTATATATAATACCCTGAAAATATAAGGACATATAAACATACATCCTTTATTTTGACTTCCTGAAAAAAATAATTTTGAAACTCGAATGTCGTTGAATTTTTTTTTTTTATATTGTTGACTATGAGACACGCGATTTTTTTTATGTAAAAGTTTGTTATTGTTTTCAAGTGTCTTCGTGGTAAACACAATCCTCACGCCGGCGAAGAATATAAAGCTAATAAGATTGGTATGAGAGAAGTAGGTATGGTGTACTCACGGACGGGTTGGGGACGCACCGGCGCGGGTCCGAGCTCCGGTATGTGGGGCTGTACCTGCCGGGGAAGCAGCCCGGCGGCCCCATCAGCCCGCCACCGGCCTTCATCTTATCCGGCGAGTACATCGCACATGACCCCCAAGGGTCGTCTTCCAATTTCAACACCTTGGAAGGTGAGTGATACTGACGGTCGAAAATTTTGGCGTTTTTTATCGTACTTTCGGGTAATAATAGGCGACGCGTCGCCGCGACCGTCCGCTGCGCCGGATAGTGACCGACTGAGGCCGTCGCTGAGTGACGTCACTTGCCACGCCCTCGCACCACCATAGCCCCCGCCCCAAGCCCCCCGTAGCGTCTCACGCGTGTTTACGTCGCCGCCGGCGGGTTCACGAATTACTGAATTATTTAATTGGTCCATTCACTCTCTTACTTGTTACCTTTTCACGCTCCTCACTCTAAAAAGGTTGACGGATGGGCCGTGACGATCGGCAGGGCTAATTGAGCCACCATCGGCACGCAGGGGACCAACCGACGAGGAAATTAGTCTCTGCCAAGTGCACTGTTCCTATCCTTCTATTATCACAAAATTAAAACCTTAATTAATTTGTTTGTCGTCTGTGTAGTGACGGATAAATTCGGAGTCTATTCATCCCGTGTAAGTGTCGAGAGAATGAAAACTTGACACAAACCTTAGATATACCAACCCGCCTGGTCAGCGTGGTAAGTATAGTAAGTCAAAACCTCCATTCTAAGGAGAGGCCTATGTCCAGCAGTGGACTATTAGACGCTGTTGATGATGTACATGAAGGGTTAACTCCACAGACTGGTCAAAATAAGAATACCAATTGACTGTCTAAAATTATCTGCATCTATTCTTGTTCAGGATTTTTTTTCTAGAAAAGAACATAAATACAAATGTTTATAGTACCTATAGCAACATAACTTCAATTTAACTACTTTGTGATCATTTGACGGGTCTGTTGGTCTAGTGGTTAGTGACCCTGACTGCTAATCCAGAGGTCGTTTGTTCGATTCCCACCCAGGACAAATATTGAGTGATGAGCACGGTCACTTGTTTTGTTTCTGGGTGTAATTTGTCATTAATATGTATGTATTTAAAAATATATAAGTATGTTTATCAGCAGTCTGGTTACCATAGCACAGGCTCTACCTAGTTTGGGATCTACCGTGTGTGAGATGTGTGAGATATATAATTATTATTATATTTCTGCACAACACACTACATAGGTACCTACCTATTATATAAATAAAATAGTTGATACCCGCGACTTCTATCGAACGGAATTTGAAAAGCGTTGCCTTAGTGGTGTATAGTACGGTACGCGACTGCAGTTTGTGGAGGAACGGGTGTCATGTCCCTCCAACACAAAGGGAGGACCTCCGACCAGGCGAGGTGATCATGCCTGGCGGGCCGCGGCCCAATGATTGATGTTGGGAAGTTGTATATATGCTCAACGGCGAGGGAATTCTTTATATCGCGATACAGGATTAGCAATTCTTATTTTAGTAGTTACTCTATATCTTATTTTAGAACCGGGTAAAATTTTACAAACAGACAGACACAGACATAATTTTAACCTGGTTTTTAGGCATAGGTATGGTTTATATAAACGTTGACTTTACAAACAGACACTTCAATTTTATTTATTTGTGTAAATAAAAGACTTGACACCACTATATTTATTACTAGTTTCATATTTAAACTAAGCCTAAATGTTTGTCTGAGAGGAAAAATAGGCTAAGTTACTTCTGATATAGACTGGTAATACCTAACCTGGTAGTATAATATTATCAAAAGACTGTCAGTCTTTAGGCGTAGGTATCGTACAAAAAAACGTGTGAGTTTAAAAAAAAAAACATTATTTTGAAATTACAAACAGACACTTCAATTTTATTTATTTGTATAGATGAAAAATTTAAATTTCATGCTCGTGCTCTTTTGTCTATGACGTATGCAAATAATAATAATAATAAATGTTTATTTCACCCTTGTTACAATATATACACATGTACGATGTAGTCATAACACAACAGTGGCTAAACACACCAGTTTTCAAACTAAGTAAAATACCTGTATTGTGAATAACCAGGCATCCATTCCGCAAAAAAAGGATTATTTTAACTGTACAAAATTGGAGTTGACACTTAAATTTAAGAGAATGTAACAAAAAATCAACTGAATTTAAATTGAGCTTGTATTTGTTTTTAAATGAGTGTGTGGCTGTATGTGTATATTTGTGTGCGCGTGCGTGTGTGTATTGTGTGTGTTTGTACGCGCATGAGTGTGTGTTTAAGTGTAAGGTAGATGTGTATTACTATTTTTCTATTTATAAGAAGGTTAAATTGACATCACGGCCTGACAAAAAACCAGTGTTAAACAAATCTTTTGTTACGTGTCATCAAGTAAGTGAGATACTGGGAGGCGCTCACAGGCCGGGTTCTACTACCCGCTTCAGAGATTGTTTTTATCTAACTACTTTTCGCGTCAGTTATATTCTTCCCATCAATGCAACCATAACGTGCCACAAGCAAGCATAATATGGTACGGCTTGTCATTTGTAAGTAGACGTAGGGCAAATAACACGATTACGATATGTACCTATTACTTACGTACGTAAACTACGTACGAAGACACAGGTCACTTTAATATGAATGATATTGACTTAAAATACACTGCAAATAATGTTCCACTCGAGGTAAATGTACCTTAAATCATTTAAAAGCGTTTCATAATTTGTTCAGTACTTGCCACAAACTAAAAAAAATATTTGCAGAACAAATGATCCTGCTCATCACACAATATTTTTCCTGGGACCAGGACTTCTGACCTAGCAGTGAAGGTCGCTAACCACTAAACCAACTTGAATATCAAATTATGTAATTATAAATAATTAAAGGATATTAAGATAAAAAGATAAAAACAATATTTGAAGCGGTTTGTATATCGTGTCAAAATTTCAGTTCTAAATTTAAGTTTTTGAAGCATAGACAAACCAACTTAACATTTTTATATATCCACTAGTTTTTGCTTTTGCTTTTTTGTACTTTTGCTCGCGACTCCGTCCGAGTGGTACCCGAAACAATAAATCAAGAATATAAATAAAAACAAAAAGTAATTCAATATTTCTGTACAAACAACATTTTTAACTATTTCATATCGATGTATATTTTTTTAATATGCAAGGGTCATTTCATTTTATTGTATGGGAAGAAAGATTTTTTCATAATACAATATAATGGTCCTTGTAAGTAACTAATTCGGTTTATCTTATAAAGTACATACCATTGAACAGTCAGTTTACCTCATCCTCAGTATAACTTACATGAAAAATTATTTTATCAATTTATTTAAATAGAATAAATTAATCCTTACATGAAATAGGATCGACTCGCATCATAAAACGAATTCGTCAACTTTATTCATTTCTATGGAAAACTCGCGCTTGGCCAGAATAGTAGACCTTAAAGTGTTTTTTTTAAATAGTGATACACTTGAACCTCCTTGTTTTAAACTTTCAATCCTCTCTTTAACCCCTTAGGGGATAAATCAAAAATCCCTTCTTAGTGCACACGTACATCGGTTTAGGAATATATTTTTATCAAAATTATTTATATATTTAATACAGCAAACATTCCATGCCTTCTGGACCCAGTGGTTTTAGCTGTGCGTTGATTGGTCAGTCAGTGAGACAGCCAGCCAGTTCATAATTAAAATATATAATACTAGCTGACCCTGACTACTTGTTTTGCAATTTACATTTTTTTTTTTTTTTAATATCTTAAAATCCGTTCTTAGCTGACCTCTACTCGGTGAAAAGAATATTCCTACCAAATTTCAAGTCTTTAGCTCTAATGGTTTCAGAGATATCGTTATGAGTGACTATATACGTGGAAATCTCTTATATATATATATATAGATAGACAATGATGTATCTATAAAACACCATTATGCAATAAAAAAAATTAAAAACTCAAGGGCAAATTTACGGCACAAAAAGTCAATGCAAAATACGTTTTACGACGTTTTTTTTAAGACCAGTTTTGGCTTCTATCCCTTTCATATTGACTTTAATAAGTTTTATTATACACTAGTTTACACACAGGTTATTGCAAAATATAAATAAGAGCAGAGGAGGGACAAAGAAAAGATGGACGGCCTGCGGGAAGGAGTATATGGCTAGAGAGGAAGTAAGCACTGACGAGCGATAGAGAAGAATGGAAGAAGAATACCCATTGTGCCGACCCCGAATAAACTCAGGAAATAGGTAAAAAGATGATGAGACACGTTATTGTGGAATTTATTTATTTTGTTTTAATTCTTTTTGCACAAACAAAGTACAATGGCGGACTTAATGCCAAAGGCATTTTCTCCCAGTCTACCTTTGGGTGGTGGGGAAATGTCTGAGTAGGTGCATGAAATTAAAATTAGGTTACATAAATACTGAGATATACATACATATATATACTTGCTGAGTAATACATACAAGACTAACATAATAACATATAAGACTTTAGGGATGTGAGGAGTCTGCTAAAGTGTCGAGAATTCGAGCTCGGACTTTCGTCTTAAATGAGTTTTTTTTTTGAGATTTTACAGTCAATTTTCACATCACACATCAACAGCCTTTAATAGTCCACTGCTGGACATAAGCCTCTCCTTAGAAAGGAGGTTTTGGCCTACTATAATACGCTGGTCAGACGGGTTGGTAAACCTTTTTTTTTTTTTTTTTTCCGTGCGGAAATCCCCTCGTATACCACCTGTCGGTGGCATGTCGGACTCGAACCGACTAAAACCGCACGCCGTCGCCGGGTACTAATAGCCGGGGAACCAGGTATACCCTAGAAAGGAAGTCCTTGGTGCAGGGTTGGTATACCTAGAGTGTGTGACAAGTTTTTCTTCTCTCTGCAGTGCTGTTGTTCTGAGTAGTTTGCTCCCTTACGACACCCACGGGATGAATAGGGGTGGTGACACTCTGTATTCTTAATCCGTCACCACACGGACCAAGTCAATTTTACCTGAATATAAAATTTCTTCAAGACCGTATTCTTATATCTATGCCAAATTTTGTCCAGATCCATTAATCCGTTTTGGCGTAATTAAGTTACTGAATCAAAACATCGATCCAAACATTATTAATAATGGTAAAATATAAAACATAAGCGGCTATGTAAAATGCTCGTGATTAGCGTAGAACACAACACAGTAATTACGGCATTCAGCCGGCAGATGGCGCGAGTTTTAATTTTTCGATTTCGGACCCGCTTGTATAATGCATGAGGCTTTTATCGCTGCCGTGGCTCCTTCGGGAATTCCTGGCTACTGGGGCAAGTCATGAGCAGAAGCGATTTTTACATTACATAGATATTTATAAGTCCAAATTTATGTATGTATATAAT